CACCCCCTCTCTTTTCACCCCCCCCCCCCCCCCCCCCGTCTTTCTCCTTCCCTGTCCTTCTCATTGTATCCCCAAGTGCATTATGAGCTCAGTAAGACCAGGCCTATGCTAGAAAAGGTCTGTTAGCATTGCTCCGTCAATGTGCTTTTGGTGGAACAGCTTATCTGGGACACACACATCCCCCTCTAACCAACCTGCAATCATTCCTGAGATTGGCTTGGCCTACCATTCCAATTGGTGTCAGCCTTTGGAGCCCACAATGTTTGAAATGAAACAAAACCAGTGTTCCCAGTGCTCTGATCAGTGACAGGGTGTGTGGCACCCACCAGAGGGACAGTGATTTCCAAGAGGTTGCTGGGGAAGAATTAATAGTGTCCTGCCATTAAGCTGTGCTCCCTCAGTGAGGATGGTAAGATGTTGAGCTTTTCTCTGGTGTCCCATTGGCTGGGCTGGGAGTGTTATCATTTGTCCCGCAGGGAGCTGGGCAGGTGGAGCTGAGTCTGAACTGGTTGTTTCTGGTTTATAGTAAAAATAAACACCCATAAACACCTTCTCGGAATCCACAAAGTGCTGTTCAGCAGTGGGCTAATGGTGTTATTCCTTTGATACTGATGGGGGGAATACAAGGCGGAGAGAGGTTGTGACTTGCCAGAGGCCACATGGTTAGACAATGGCACAGTCAGGAATAGAATGAACTCCCAGAGAAGTGTGGTGTCCACCAGACCATGCTGCTTCCCAATTTAGGAAACTCTGATTCTGTCCAGATCAAACGTTGGGGTGTTTGAAATCCAGATCTAGCTCCAGAATGCGGCCTGGTCCCTTCCTCTCCTTCCTTGCTTGAATTTACTAATTTAGTGGCCTGGTTTACAAATGCCCTGACAGTATACGTGATTTGTTGGAACACGTGTCCCGGGGAGCACATGCCGGTTACAACAAGCCGTACCCCAGCTGGCACTTGCTCTGGACTTGGCAAGCTCAAAGAATCTTGCAGCATGTGTTCTTCTTCCCAGGCTGCGAACTTCTCCACACGCCATTTGCCTGCTGCCACCCGCAGCTGCTCTGCAACACCACGGGTTGGTGCCCCCGCAGGCAGCAGTGGTGCCCACTGAGAGAAGGCTGCTTGAACATCTCCAGCCCTTGCAGCTCTTACGCCTTTGAGAACATGACCTCCAACATCCTGCCCATCCCAAGCCCACCACGTTACAGCGGGACCCCACCCGTCTACTCGCCAGTGGCTGACTTACACATGCTACTCGCTCCTAGCAGCACAAGCAGGC